TATTAAGTTTCTGTTCCTGATGTGAAGATTCAGATTTGGACAGGCTAATTAGAAATTTTTACTACTTTTATCTAAAGTTATCTGAAATTGGTAGTTGTTTTTCCAGTTCCCTTATCTCTAAGAGGAGGAAGCTAAGCTATACTTGCTTCCGCTCCAGTGGCTTTTCTCTGCTGCTGGATAGTGATGTGTCAGCAGCAACATCTCTATGAAGCTAAATCTGCGTTATGATTCAGATTTGGACAGGCTAATTAGAAATTTTTACTACTTTTATCTAAAGTTATCTGAAATTGGTAGTTGTTTTTCCAGTTCCCTTATCTCTAAGAGGAGGAAGCTAAGCTATACTTGCTTCCGCTCCAGTGGCTTTTCTCTGCTGCTGGATAGTGATGTGTCAGCAGCAACATCTCTATGAAGCTAAATCTGCGTTATAATCTTCATGCCAGACATATAGGTAATTATAGCTTCAAAAACATTAAGCAAGAATAATAATAACGAACTCTGAAGTAAGTGATCTACAAGCCAGACCGCATTATGCTTCCACATACAGAATGGCTTTGGTGGTGAGGGACTGATATTTTCAGGGATTGTGGCATCTGACAGAGCACTGTTCAGAATAGTTAGCGATGGAGAATTGTATGAACCCGCAGGGAGATTAAAAAAATCAGTACCATAAGGAGTAGGAAAAAAAGTAAGATAAATGTTTGAGAACCTTGATTCTATGTGCGCTACGTAAGCCATATACGAAACTGTAATGATATTGTAACATCTGTCCCTCCCCCCAACCTGGTAATGCTGTGGTGTGTACTCTACCATTTTGCAAACAGAATAAAATGATCTCATAGTAACTTCATTGGATCTTTTCCTCTTAGTTCTCTTGGGTGCTGATCACCTGGTTCTGGTGACTTTTGGTGTTCCACATTCACTTCCGTTTCAGACAGATGAAAGTCTGTTCTTTCCTGGTCTCACTCCCAGAAAGGCTGTGGTATCAGTTTTATTCTATAGTGACCCTAGATGCAAATATCTATTTAGATTTTTTGCAGTACCTCTCACCTTTCTGTGTATTCCTTTTACGTGCTGTTGTCTGATTCTGCATGCTTTTTGCTCCTGGATATTAACTGATTCTGTAAGATAATTTGTTTTATAACTCTAATTTGGCCTGCCTGGTTACAATCTCTTTTATCTGCGTAATTAGAATTCTTTTAGTCCAGCACAGTCTAGTTTTGGACTATCCAGATAGCAAGATACAGTATTCATAAGAATATAAGTCCTGCTCAGTTAATACCTTTATTGAGGGGTGAAGGGAGAGTAAATATTGAGAAGAAATGTTGCCCAAAATGATTGATCTTAGCGCATTTATTTTGCGTATTTTTTCATGGCATCTGTTAAAGTGGAACTGTTGATGTTGATGGGAGCTTTGCAATTGTAAATGAGATATAGTTTAGGCCTTGTAAAGGTGAATTGTGGGGAATAGTTTGTAATGTTGTTCATGTACCACTGTGCATTTGTGTTTATACAGCTGAACTAACTAAGGTTTTTGAGAAAGTTGTGGATATCAGTCACTGATTAAAGCAGTGCCAATGAGTAGGAAAAAATAGGTTAAGAAAATTGCCTAAGCAAGTGTTAGGACGCTGTTCCTGTTGGCAACTACCAGGTTGTTAATGAGCTGCCTAAAGACATGGGAAGACCCTTACCAGGAGCCACCAACTTTAAAGAGGAAAACCTTGTTATAAAGACAGGGCAAACTCCAGTGTTGGTGAAATCTCTAGATCTTGTGCTATAAAGAGAAACAAACAGGAAATGAATTAAACCTGCATTTCGAAATTTGGCACATAGCCTTTAGGAGAGGGGAGCTGTAGAGTACTACAAATTGGACATTTCTTTTAAACAACTTAAGGGCAGGATGAGGGAAATCAAATGCTGTCTTATGATGCTGTTTGACTTTCACTTATAATCAGATCTAACTTTAACCACAAAAGTTCTGGATTTAACAGAAACAAATACTTTAAATAAATCCTTCTGGTATTTAGCAAAAAAAGCCAGTCACACAGCACAGCTAATTCATAGTCGATTAAATTGAATGTAATCACTTGATCACTCAGAACTGATCTTTATGACAGAATCTGTCCTAAAATTTTAAGTAAAAGGATTTTATGATGTGTCTCGTTCCCTGATTGTATAGCAGATTGGATGCAAAAAAAGACAGCCTTTGATTTGAACTGATTTGAACTCTGATGCATGATTTCCAGAGGTAATAATTCTTACAGTACGTGTTGGGTATGCTGCTTCTCTCAGCCCTCTCTTTTTTCTTTCTTTTTTTAAAATCTTCTACTATCCAATATTTTTACTGTTCTGTACAATGACTGTGACTGATGTCATTGATGAAGCACCAGATAAATTCTAAAAGTGGAAGTTCTAGCCCAGCATGGTCAAACACCTTGTCAGCGTGCCATAACATACAGCAGGAAGAAATGTTGTATTTCCTAATTTCCTGAGCAAAGTAAATTGGCAGCATGCTGAGAAGTTCTCCCAACCATAAACATGTCTGAGTAGAGCAGAAACGAATTCCAGTTGTCTGCAGTTCATGGTGGTCAGCGGTTGAAATCTGGCTGTTGTGGTTCATGAGAAATTGTAGACTGTGTGACTGGAGACTTCCCCCCCC